CATGGCCTTGTCCACGTCCCCGGAAGTAACATCCTGAAACTCAACCCAGCGATGGTCAACCAAATCGTCCTCTCGTGCCTCGGCTGGTTCTGCAATGGTGGAGTCCTATTTCTTGTTCCTGCCTCTGTTCTAGCTCCTAATAAAGCCAATCTTTTGTTACATAACATTTCCTCTATCCATCATCTCTTGCCCGTTTTAATATTTCATTTCTTATTCGTTTTTTAACTTGCCTCCCAAATTCCTCACTTGGGTCTTCATCTCTACATCTTTCCTGGTTAGCTTATGTATTTCTTCCATCTCTACTAACTTTTGCTGATAAGCCTCCATAGGATCTGCCCAATTCTCTATTTGTTTTTCAAACATATCTTTCTGTTTATCCAGTATCATTTTTTGGTCTTTTAGCATGTATTGTCCCTGAATTGCTTCATAAGTTTTTATTGCCTTCTCTTTCTTATCTTTTTGGTTTCATTTGTTGATTTGTCCATTCTATCTTTTCCTTGTCTCTCTATTATCTCCTCTTTCTTGGACTTTTTGATCATTATTCATTATCCCTTGTGGAACACTTTCTAACTTCCCATTTATGTTATTCATTAAATCCATTATCTCCCTGTGATTCCTTGTCATGATATCATGAATGCTTTGAAACATCAACATTATTTTTTGCAACCCACTTATTTCCCCCTGCTGAAACATCTTGTCTTCTTTTAATGTCCCAGTATAGCTCAATAGTTGTCAGTGGTCTATCACTGCCCCATGGTCTCAATTATCTTTGATCACAGAAAGTCAATCTGAAAGCCATTTACTCAGTCCAGACGTTGCTCCTCTGGGAATAGAGCAATATAGTTCTTTATGTCCCACAGTTGGTCAATTTAGCTCTTTTTAGGTAATCTAGGAAGATTTCAAAATGCCTCCTTAAATTCACTCTATAAGTTCAATTATAACTTCTAATGTTTGAAAATCACTTTAGATTTCTTCCAGGTTTTCACCATTAGAACTTCAGTAGTCTTGGAGCAGATAAGTGTAGATCAATAGATAGCACAGCGATCCTCCATGTGTTATTTCCACTTTCTCCTCTCTTATCAGTATTTTTTCCAAAGGTTGTCTTATCTATGAAATACTGTCTATTTCATTCACCAGTAGATGGCACCTTCAGCTTAACTTCAACGTTCTACAAATTCTATCAGGTTCCATTTGTATTTATTCAAACATATAATGAAAATTCTGACAGGTACTTCCAGAATTTTAAAATGCCTTATTGCCAGTAAAAATTAGAGATTCAATCTTTCAATGTTTTTAAAGGTTTTGCGCTCCCTTCTTAAAATCTTTTCTCTCTGTAATTTCTCTCTCTCTAATTGTTTGCCACTTACACAAACTTTTCGAAGAGTCTCTTTTCCAGAGTTAATTTTTTTTTGGGGGGGGGGTAGGTTTTAAATTTTAAAAAGTCACCTCATCCAGTTCCTGTCACTGTTCATCCACACTGCTCCAGCACATTCTTTGTTTCTTCGGCTGCCCCAGCTTCACAGCAGCCATAATGGCTACCACTCCTCTTTGTTGTAGGCTGAGAGGGAATTAGCCCTGGGTCAAGCAGGAGAGCCATTGCTCTTTATGACCTGCAGGGCACTCCTCCACTCTTCACCACCTCTACAGAGTGACTTTAGCCACATATGGGGCCCTCCAACAAAGGGATTCAGCACAATTTCTCAGATCCCCGCTCTTTGCGTCCAATAGCACTGCAATGTCAACCAGAAGCCCTCAGAATTTCCAAGATTTTTAATAGCAGCATATGTTGATAAGATTTTGGGGTTTAAATGAAAATAAAATGAAAGATTAATAGTGAATTTCTACACAAAATAATGGTGATGATGAGAAAAGAAATTTTAAAAATGATATGCTAGCCTTTGTGGTTATATTCTGTGAGTGCATTATTTTGTTTTAATTGCAGATGAAGTGGATTATGACAAATTCTTTGATGCAGTAAAGTGTCTTTTTGGACCAGATGTAAAAGCCCAAGATGTTAAAACTTTCTATAGGAAGATTAGCAACAACCCAGATGCACGGACAGAATGGTGTGAGGTAAGAGTTGGTTTTCTTTTGATACATCAACTTTTTCTGACAATATTACATGTGACCAATCAGCTAAAAATATGGAAAGCCAGAAAGAACATGGAACAAAGCAGAGAGGGGCATGGGTAGCATAGTAAAAGTTAGAAGTTTTACTGAAATAAAAAGGAGAAGATGGAGGGATAAAGCCACAATGGCCTGGAAAGGGTTTGCTAAGTGAGATGAAAAGAAAGAAAGAAAAACTCAAACTGGAGGAGTATGCCCTAGTAAAAGAAACAGGAAGTGTTTATTCTAACTGTTTTGATTAGTGATATGCAAAAGTTTTGAATTCAGGCTCTCAAATTGGAAACATCCTGTTTCAAATGCAAAACAGCTTTTCACACCAAGACTGTTTCAGACTTCAAAATCTGAGTGATTTAGATTCGCTTCATTTTACAGTAAATGTGGAACAGCTTTTAGGCTGTTTCACATTAAAAAGAAACACCTAATCCTCAATACTATAGTTTGATGGTCTGTCCATCTAGACTACCCTATAGTTAAAATTCACTGTTCCCGAGGTGAAAAACGATGCCTTTTGCAAATTTAATGTACATGTTCAGCAAAGAGATAGGCATTCCTTTGATCATTGCATGGAAATGAACTCCAAATTGTTCTACTCAGCTTCTGCCAAGGAAACAAGCAAAATATCTGAAATCAATTATCCAGGGAGTTTTACTTTAAAGACTCTTAAACCAACTCAGCTGGAACTAATCCTGTTTATTTCCTCTTTTGCTTATTTTTCTTTAATTTCAGCAGCAAAACAAATACACAGAGACTCAGGCTACTCCCTATGTTATCCTACAATGCTGAAGTCATCTAAATAGTGTAGTGATGTCAGAATAAGCCCAACTACATTGCTTTGGCAGGATGCATACTGCATCTTATTCAATAAATCCATAGATTGGTAATATTTATACTATATTGTAAGACTCTTCTGCTAGTAAAGTTTTCTTCTATTTTCTTATGGATCATGTTTCTTAGGTCCATATTTATGGGTACCCGACTAATAGTGCTACAGTTACAGGCTTATCAAACCAGCAGATGTTGATCCCAATCAAATCTTGTTTCATTGTTAAAGCTTGTTCCATAGAATTATTGTTTTTGGCTACACTGTCATCTTTTGAGGAGGCCTTATGCCTTCAACTGTCTGCTGAGTGGACTATGATATGGTAGAGCAGGCAGTGATTTGAGCTACTAGCAGAAAATTGAAGCACTTACAGTTTTGCTGACAGTACAATTTAGATCACTTCTTGCAGGGTGGTTGAAGTAACTGCTATTGAAACATCAGCTGAAAATATTTGCACTGGCGAGACTTCATTTTTAACTTTGGTTTTAATAAACAAAATGGATGTAGCTTTTTGGTCAAATATTTTTTCTCAAAGTAAATCTGAAGTGAATTTTACACAAAAATATGTGGTACAATAAATACCGTATTTTTCAGACTATAAGATGCACTGGAGTATAAGATGCACCATGATTTTGAGGAGGTAATTTTTAAAAAAAAGTTTTTGCACTCTGCAGGCCTCCCAAACCTCATTTTTTTGCAAAAAAGGGGGGGATGCAGAGGCTTTGGGAGGCTTGTAGAGTTCTCCTGGGGGTTGGAGAAACAAAAACAGCCCATTTTTTGCTCGTTTTTGCCCTCCCCAGCTCCCAGACCACTTTGCACATCCATTTTTGCAAAGGGGGCGGGGTTTCAGTAAGCCAAAAAAGCTCTATGCAATGTATAAGACACACCCAGATTTTCACCCTCCTTTTCGGGGGAGGGAAGGTGCATCTTATACTCTGAAAAATACAGTACACTATGGGATAAAAACAACAATCCCAGCAGCCACAGTCATGGAGTTCAGCATAATTTAAAATAAGAGGTAACCCTTATGAAAAGAAATTTCATCCAAAACATAGTACAGGTAGTCTTCGACTTGGAACAGTTCATTTAGTGACCATTCAAAGTTACAACGGCATGGCAAAAAATGACATGACCATTTTTCATACGTACATCATTTGTAGCATCCTGATGATCATGTGATCAAAATTCAGAAGCTTGGCAACTGGTTCATAGTTATGACCGTTGCAGTGTCATGTGATCACCTTTTGCAACCTTTTGATAAGCAAAGTCAATGGGGAAGCCAGATTTACTTAACAACCGGGTTACTAACTTTTCAATTGCATTGATTAACTTAACAACTGTGTCAAGAGAGATCGTAAGATGGGGCAAAACTCGCTTAACAAATGTTTTACTTAACAACATAAATTTTGGCTCAATTGTGGTTATAAGTCAAGGACTACCTGTATTCATGACATTCTGCAGTATTCTTGTGAGGTTCTGTATTGGCCAGTTCCCTTCTTTCAGTCAGTTCACTTTACTCTCACAGTCTAGGATCTTCAGATATGGTTTAGAGATTGAAGCTGCTATTTCTGGTTTGAAAACCATTTAGACAATCATAAGTGTTCTCTATGACCAAGATTTGGGAAAAACTAAATGTGCATTCTGACATCACAACATTCCTCCAACCTTTCATATTTGCAATCCAAATTCAAGTTGTGGAATTTGTACCATGGCATTACAATATATTTTCCTCTTACTAACATAAGCCTGCATAAGAGTGAAAGTCTTTTTGGATTGGTAGAATATAAATATTAAAGAAAGGCTTTTATATTTGGCTTTGATATAAGACATTGAAGCATTCTCAAATGCCTGGCAAAGTTGCAGGATGGGGTTAAAAACATACTTTTTGTGACTATTTTGTTGCCATGGAAGTCAAGGGTACACGAAAAGATGGTACTAAAAATAAAAACAGTCTGCCATTTCCACTCTTTTGTCTTGCATTAATAACATTTATTAGTGCATTAATAACATTTATATGTGAAACATATAAAATGTGTTATAATAGCTATTAAGTGAAAGCTCTGGTGTTTTTATTTTTCATTTTTCTATTGAATTGCAGCAGGGAAATGAATTTATAATTGTTTATAAAACTGTACAATGAAAATATTTTACTTTTTAGAAGAAATTGTGCTGCTAATAGAATTTTGGAATCTTTCTATGAATTTTGCCATTCTTTTAATATTAGAGCACAATTTTTCATATAATAGGATTAGCATAATTCCAGTCTGATTATCTATCTATCTATCTATCTATCTATCTATCTATCTATCTATCTATCTATCTATCTATCTATCTATCTATCTTTTTTAGGACTGTTAATGTATTGATGGAAAGCAATGAGACTGCATAATGCATTTGCTATTCAAACAATTGAATGATAATCTTCCACAAACCACTACCTTTCAAGCACAATTGTTTCTTAGTTTAATTCAAATGTCATTTTAACCCATATTTGGGAACAAGATGCATAATCATAAAGATAAAGCACACAACACTTTGTACAAATGTGATGTGGTTTATCCATAAGTCAAGACAATGTTTATGATATTTCCCATCCCAGGTTTTATTTAAAACCTGGCAACTTGTGACCTATTGGGTTATTGTTTCAGAGATAAATCCTTACCTAAATGTCCACGGCCACAGACAAAAAGCAGTGGGTGTGACTTCTGATTTCCTACCAGCTTCCCCATTGACTTTTCAATAGGTGGCAGAGAACACTGGAAATGACAATCACATAACCATGGCAGTGCAGCAGAACTAAAACAGTCACAACTTTATCAAATTTCAATCCCATGGTAGCCTTGGATTCTGAAATTTGAATGATTCTGCAAGGTAGCCCATTTAAGGTGTGTTGATTCAAGAATGGTTGCCCTATGATAGTAAATCATAGTAATTAAAACAAGAAATAGATAACTGAAACACATTTTCTAAACTGGCTTAGGTATTATTCATGTCATGAAATCTTTTTTTCTAATTATCTGTTCTAGAATGTACAGGGTATTAAAATAGAATAGAATTGTCAAGACTCATTATCCTTGATCTTTAGCCATATTATCACAAACATTCCTAATGTTGGGAATTATTATTATTATACAATTTATAATACCCATATGCAAATATTTATTTTTTCATGACTATTTAACTTTTCATACACATTTTTGGGTTTCATTTAGATCTTTGGATACTACATGGTGGAAGGTGATATTCTTGCTGCCCAGCTGGATGAAGAAAATATGGTTTTCCTGATATCCAAAAAGCAACGGATTGCAAAAACAGGTCTGATTTTCAATGTTACATCACCAAATAAAAGTTCAGCCTCATTTATTAGTATAAGCAAAATAATGTATTCATGGTTTATAGTTACATTGGTTAAACATATTTTTACATTATTATATGTTGTGTAATATATATTTTCTCTAATCACATTTTCTCATCACTGTCTCATTTGGCATTTTTTCAACCAGAGTGGAATATATGTCAGTTTTATTTTGTTTCCTATACTTGAAACTTGATGACTATATTCATACAATTTTAATTCTCCTTAATTCCAGGTTGCTTCTCTCTTTGATTAGTTTTCATCCATTGTTTCTTGTCTTGCCTTCTGATGCTTTTCCAAATTTGTAGAATTTGTTTTAATTCCACTGCTAAACATATTGTTATTCTCACACAGATCTCTAAAATATGCAGAACTCTTTGCCTGAATTTCATTCTAAGTCATTCCATAATTTTTATTTTTTTAATTGATTCACAGCACTGGAGACCCTTTGCTAGTCTTTTTCATCCATGCCCATATTAATTGTTTATTTTCATCAAAATTGTTCTGCATCTTCTCTGCTTCTTCTAACCTTACTGTTCCATGCTACATTCATTGCATTTTTTTTCCAATATTCATGGTATACAATATCCTTTCTTGTCATATTTTGTAGTAATCATTATATAACGTATTCCATAACTTCTTTCTGTTCATTATTCCACCAAGAATCCTTTTTCATACTTCCGATTAGTGTAACTCCCACACACAATTTCTCTACTGTGGTACTTTGTAAAATAATATTTGCTATCTTGTTTCAAGTGGCTTCCTCATTACCATTCCTTATGATAATATCAAGTTACCATTTAGTTTGTAGGAAATTGTCTTGTGATTTCTCCTGCAATTTTTTTATTTTGACTTTTCTCTTTTCTTTTGTTGCAATATATAAAAGATCCTCTCTTGAGGTTACCAGGAATGGGCCACCCCACATTTAGAATCTCTCATCACCCTTTGGTATGTTTTAGTAATTCTCTCAGTCTTTTATCAGCAAATCAATCATAATTTTTTAATCCTTCCTTTGTCATCGATACATGATAACTGATTTATGCTTCACAGAAATTTTTCTAAGAAGGTACCCTCTAAGCAATCACAGTTCTTGTTCATTCTTGGTATCCCATATGGCTCAATCTCTTTTTCAACTCATTCCCATCTATTCATGTCACCTAACAACATCACATTCATTCATGCTACTTCTTATAGCAATCATCATCCTAGGAATTTCAACTTCAGTTCACATGTTGTTGTTCAGTCTTTGAGTCATGTCTAACTCTTTTTGACCCCAAGGATCTTAGCATGCCAGGCCCCATGTCATCCATTGTGTCCTGGAGTTTGCCCAAATTCATGTTCATTGTGTCAATGAACATCTCATTCTCTGCTGTTCTGTTCTTCTTTTGCCTTCAATCTTTCCCAACATCAAGGTCTTTTCCAATGAATCCTGTCTTCCCATTAGGTGGGCAAAGTATTTGAACTGCAGCTTCAGTATCTGTCATTCCAAAGAACATTCAGGTTGATTTCCTTTAGGATTGATTGATTTGATCTCCTTCCAGTCCAAGGGGTTCTAAAGAATCTTCTACAATTTGAAAATATCAGTTCTTTGGCGCTCAGCCTTCCTTATGGTCCAACTCTCACAGTCATACATTACTACTGGGAAACCATAGTTTTGACTATAGAGACCTTTGTCAACAACCGATGCCTCTGTGGGCTCTAGTCTAGGTTTACCATTGCTTTCCTCCTGAATAGCAAGCAACTTTTAATTTCATGGCTGAAATAACCATCTGCAGTGATCTTGGATCCCAAGAAAATAAAAACTCACTGCTTCCATTTCTTCCCCTTCTATTTAACAGGAAGTGATGGGACCAGATGCCAAGAACTTAATTTTTTAAATGTTTTTTTTAATGTTAAGTTGCAAGCCAATTTTTGCACTCTCCTCTTTCAACCTCATCAAGAAGCTCTTTAGTTCCTCTTCACTTTGTTCTATTAGAGTTGTATCATCTGCATACCTGAGGTTGCTGATATTTCTCTTGGCAATCTTAATTCCGACTTCTGATCCATCCAGTCCAGCATTTTGCATCATGTACTATGCATAAAAGTTAATTAAACAATTAAATATACAGCCTATTTTGAACCAGTCAGTTGTTCCATGTCCAGCAATTGTTGTTTCTTGACCCATATATGTTTCTTATGAGACGGGTAAGGTGTTCCTGTACTCCCATCTCTTAAAGAACTTGCCACAGTTTGTTGTGATCCATGCAATCAAAGAAAACCCATATCTGCATCAGCGTAAATTAGAGACCAGCAAGTTTCAACAAGCTGACAAGGGTCAGTTTCTATCCCTCTTTTAGCATAGTGTGTCTGGCAAATCTGCAAGCCAAGGACCAGGGCAACCATTGGATGGTGCCAGCAAGGAGGTTGATGATAGGCTGCTGTCACCCAGGGCGCCCCCACCATTTATTCATGGAGTTTGGCAGAGGCATGGACCTGGCAATCTATGGCCTGCCTGTTCGTTTTAGCTCACAGGCTATATTTGATACCAATTCATGCTTTGTGACATACAGTAGATATTGCTTTATTGAGGCTTCTTACAATTGATTCCTCTCCCATTCCAAGTTGAAGTTACTATGTGACATGGTCAACCTGATGGGCCCACAGCCAGACATTATGGTTTAGTCAGTGAAGGTTGTAATCTCATGCTTTTTAATAATATCAAATGTAGATTAGGTTGACTATATAAACATGTCTGTGTGATGTGCAGCATGCTCTGGTAATAGTAAGGGTGCAATATTGATAATTTTGGAACATTTATGGTCGTATGGAACATGTGCAACAAAGTCAAGCAGGATATCACAAGCAGGGTGATGTTATCCTATACATGCTAGGATCTCCTCTTTAATTTTACTTTTTTAAGGAAATATATATTTTACTAAGGTATATTCCATTAGCAAGGAAACACATACTGGTGAATGCTTCATTCATTCATTCATTCATTCATTCATTCATTCATTCATTCATTCATTCATTCATTCATTCATTCATTCATTCATTCAAGTAGCACAGTGGTTAGAATGCAGTACTGCAGGCTACTTCTGCGGACTGCACTTGACTGCAGTTTGGTAGTTCAAATCTCACCCGATTCGAGGTTGACTCAGCCTTCCATCCTTCCGAGGTTGGTAAAATGAGGACCCAGATTGTTGGGGGCAATATGCTGACTCTCTAAACCTCTTAGAGAGGGCCATAAAGCACTATAAAGCAGTATATAAGTGCTATTGCTATTGCTATGTACTGATATGCTTAGGATACCAATATACTGGACTAGTACAATATGAATGGACACAGTGATTTTCAAAACATTTTGGCAACTTTTTAGTATTTTTCCCTGAATGTTATCAAAATATGCATCATTGTTCCTAGATCAGTTAACTAAATAGTTAATTAATTAATTAATAAACAGGTTAACTCCCTGCCTTCATATGTATTGAGTAATTCCTCATTTAAATTATCTTTTGTTTTATCTTTCTTATAGGAGTCAAGAGAAGTGATGTAATTCGATGCATGGTAAAGATAACTCAACTTGATTTTTTGCTAACAGCATCTCAGAAAGGAATGTTGTCTATTTTTTCTGGCCAGGTGATTTTGAAATATATATTTGTCTTTATTGAATTAAAATCCTGCCAAATGTGGACAGATGCTTAAAGAATTGTCATTTAAAATTTTCAGAATCTGAAAATTATTTGCTTTGATATATTATTCTGGCACAAATTTATAGAAGTCATGTTCATAACAATAAAAAGCCAGCCATGAGTATAAAAGTTTCACAACCATATAAACCAATAAAAGTTCTTAAACTATGAAACTGTCAGCTGCACTAGAAGTTAATAGTAAGTGTTCAAAACATTAGGAAAATTAGAGGGTACCCCCCCCCCACAAAAAAACCAAAACCAAAACAAAACCTCAACACTGTTTGTAAAATACCTCTGTGAAGACATTCTGATACTGTGATTCCATTGCTAAAATGATCCTCTTCCTGGGTATTGTTCATCTTTTGATAATATTTTACAACAGAGAAAAGTTTGTCAATCTTTTGTTACATGCTCCTGCTTTGCAATATGAGGGTTGGTACCAACATGTTGGAAAGTTAAAAATATTCATTTGAATACATACTAATTAACAGCAGATAAGACAAAAAACTAAGAGTTTGTCAGTCACTTCTCCACTATTTCATCTGCTTTTTCCTCTTCCTCTTTCTAATAATTGTTATCAGAGACTAAGCAATTGTCTGGATTTTTTTTTTTTTACTATTGGGTACAGTTTCATGACCTCTTTGCCTCTTATATTTTAAGTGCGTGCAAATGGGTAAGTGGATACTAATGTATGCAATGTATGCATCCTTACAGCAAAACAGACTGATTAAATACAAAAGGAATCAAGATTTCTGCACATCAATATTTATGCACAAGAAGGAATTTTGGAAGCATCGTTTGCATGGAAGATCAATAAAACCCCTTTCTAACACAGGCATGAGTGGTATAGGACCTATAATCTTTCATTCTAGCCATATTATTGGAAAATAAAATCCTTTGCATATTATTTTGTTGCAACCAGAGTTAGCTGAACAAACCATAATGGCCTGATTCCTTGTGGTGTGAATCATGGTCGTCAAATCCAAACAGGTAAATCCAATCATGCCCCTAAGCCAAAAAAAAAGCACTGTTGCTTCATATGAGAATTGTGAAAATGAATGAAAATTTCTGCATATTTTACTTGGGCAGGTAGTGTTTCCTTTCTAATTTTTTTCTGACTCTGTCTTATTCTTGGTTTTCCAGATGCGAATACTAGCAAGCACCAGCATCCCTGTAAGTTTGCATTTCCCTCACATTTGGTTCAGCTAATGAAGCCAATTAATTCATTAAAATGTATGAGGATAATAATACTTTATTTCTCATTTTTTGTATAAATTTACATTTCCAGACAAATTATGTCCTTTTCATATAATATTTTTAAATTATCCATTCTATAACCCAGTTACCTTCCAGAAAAAATGATAGAAGTCATAAAAATCAAACTCAGAGAAGTTCCAGAACTTATCTCATTTTTCTGATCTGTGACCGTGATAATTGATATCACTTCTAAACTTGTCCAATTTAGAATTTGCCCAAAGGATTACAAAACTTGATCCCAACATTGCCCTCAAGGATAACAGCACCCTACCAATACATTATTATACCATATTGCCAGGTTGATCTTGTTTTATTATATTATTTTAACTTTCAAAAATGTGGTAAGCAAGCATGCTCAAATCAAAGTTTCCGTCTGAAGCACAATAACTCAAGGTATACGGAGGAATACCATATTGGGTGGGTACAATAAGTCCTTTGTTTGCCATTGAGTATAAGGCTATTTTGGGTAACTCTTTCCATGGTAGCCATTTTATGAGTTTACAAGTTCTAAAAATGCAAAGTGTATCCACTGTTTTAAAAAGATAGCAGATGTATGGACAAAACAACTAACTTGATGAAAGCTGATTATTTATAGAGGGAAAATGTCCAGACCAAACATAATTTCTAATGTTGGATTTTCACCCTTACCAGAGGGAGCCCCCTTGTGGAGTACTGTGAAGCCGTTACAATGGCAACTCCACTGTGATGTACAATAGAAGCCATTTAAAGACACAACAGGCTGCATCTTAACAGAACACACACCGCAAGGGGTGTTAGCGGTGTGTTACACCAACAATATTTTTCTCCAGAGAGTAAGTCATCTGTGTACCAAGTTTGGTTGAAATTGCTTGAGGCGTTCCAGAGTTATGCTGGAACATACACATACACATACACATACACAAACACACACACACACACACACAATTTGAAACTTCTTTGAACATCAGTTATAATTAAGGCTGCTGCCTGGGAAGGTCAGTAATCAGAGAAGTTGATTTTGCCAATATTTCTTTTTCATCAGGACAGTTCCTGGATCACTGGATGTGACTACCTTGGTCAATTGAAGCGTGCTGTTGGTGTGACAGAAAGAACTATCATCATATGGGATTATAAAACACAAGGGAGTGCCCTGGTATGACACTTAGGGGTGGGTATGTAATAAGCATAAGGTCATTAGTAAAGTAACACATGCAAATGCAAATTCATTCAAAGGTATCTTTGTATGGTGAACCTGTAAGCTTTCAAGCTCAAAAAGAAATGTTGATAGATGTTGATATTGTAACCCTTTGGCATTCACAGAATATCTTAATTTCTTTAAAAATTCAATATACGGTGGAAACTATAAAATGCATTACAAGACAGCATTGACATTGAAAATGGTCCCTACAGTTGTGATTTTCCCTATTTCTCATTATGTGTAACCAGGGGCGCGTTGCTGCCTGTTTGCTTCGCGTGCATGCATCCTCTAAAACCTCCTTTGTGTAAAACCTCCTTTGTAGATTCAGTAATGTTGCGATATGATCATATTGCACATTTTACTATTACTACTCTAAATTGTTGTTATAACTGGATGCTAGAATATTCTTTTGGACCTAAAGAATTTATTGCTTCTTCTGTTTTATCAGCTCAGACTAGGATTGGCCTCATGGTTCCACCACAAAACCGCGATGCCCTTATCCGCGCCGACATAAGTGCAGAGGCAAATCCACGGCGTCCGAAGCGCTAAGAAAAAAACGACCCTACCGCCGCAACAACAGCGCGGTGACAGAAGGGCGTTCTACATGCTTCGTTCTTTGCCTCCAAAGGTAGCCCTCCTCCTCCAGCTGACAGCGGCAGCGGGCACGGGGCAAAGCGGGCTGCCCAGCAGCAGCAGCCCCCGGGAAGGGTCCAGCTCAGCCACGGGGGGCAGCAGGAAGCGGAGGAGGATGCGGCAGCGGCGGCGGCTGAGGCTCTCCCGGGCCGGCGAAGCGGGCTTGCCCAGCGGAGGCAGGCTGCCCTCTTCTTCCTCAACAACATCTCCTTGGACGGGCGGCCTCCCACGGAGGAAGAGGCAGGGTGGGCGGCGGCGGCTGAGGCTCTCCCGGGGCCGGCGAAGCAGGCTTGCCCGGTGGCGGTGGCCGCCCAGCCAAGGAGATGTTGTTGAGGAAGAAGAGGGCGGCCTGCCTCTGCCGGACAAGCCCGCTTCGCCAGCCCCGGGAGAGCCTCAGCCGCCGCCGCTGCTGCGTCCTCCGCTGCCGCCAGCGTCGGCGGCCCTGCTCAGGCCCCCCGCGGGCTTCCTGCTGCCCCCCGTGGCTGTGCTGGACCCTTCCCGCAGGCTGCTGCTGCTGGGCAGCCCGCTTTGCCCCATGCCCGCTGCCGCTGTCAGCTGGAGGAGGAGGGCTACCTTTGGAGGCAAAGAATGCTCTTCTGTCGCCGCGCTGTTGTCCCCGCGGTGATGACGCGCGGTGATGACGTTGCGACTTTAGTGATGTGATTTAATCTCCGCTATTTTGCGTAGCGCGGTTTTGTCGTGCCACGTGGCCTCATATCCTACTCACCTTCAGAGTATTATAACACATCCCACATGTGCTGCTATAAAATATATGGTTCAAAATTCATTTCCATTTCACTGAAACAAACCATACTGATGATTTTACACCAGGCTTATCTTTTTAAAGTAGCTGCTTTTAAATCTTATATATTTTTAAAATACCACTAGTAGTTATCTTTCCAATCCAAATACCTTTTTAATTACCGAACGTTCCAGTTGTCAATTGAAACCACAGTACTATTTTTAGGACTGTTTCTTATGATGAAAAATTAGACAAAAACATTCATTAATTTAAAAAAAATGTTTTGTCAAAGGAACTAGTGGATACAATAATTACTGGTCACCAAGTCCCGTTGTTGATCTATAGAGTACCAGTATATGGGAATAATCTTAATATAGAGGGTACATTTTACTACTATGGATTTAAAGTTATTTTATTTTTAAAAAATTACCTGGCAGCAGATTGGAGAATTCTATTTCCATTAGCAGCAAGACAAACTTTACTATCACATACTGTAACATTTACTAGTATTTTTCCTTTCCTTATAAAAGTCTGCAAAAACAATTTCTAAACAAAAATAGAGTACTGAAAGTTGCACACAAATAGCAGTAAAGTTCTATAGTTTGAATAAAATATTTTTAAAGGCAAAAAATCTCAATTTTTAATCCATAGGGAAAAAGCCAGAAGAAAATATTGTCCAACTATTACAGGCAGGATTTTTTTTTTAGCATCATATATTTCTGTTAAATGTGTAGCTTTATTCTAAGTGTATTTTTAAAATCGATATCATTCTATATTAAGCATTCTTTATCCCCAAAGTTGTATTTTCAGTTATAAGAACTCCCTTTAGAGAGTTATACTATGTTCACTGTTCACACAAAAAAATAATGAACACAGATGAAGGTGGAACAAAGTAAATATAATTTAAGGGTTGAAACTGAGTCAAGAGAATTGTGTGAAATTTCTTCTAAAGTCTTTAAGCAAAGTTCTGTAACCAACCACTGTTTTCAGTCAACTAATAAGATAAATGCTAAAGCATATAATGAACAATTGCTTGTTTTTGTAGGATAACTGCTGTATAATCAAACCCATGGAACATTGCCTCCTTTCTGTTTCTGCCATTCCTCGGCCATCAGAAATTCTAGTGAAGGATGACATCTTGCTGGGGGATGATGGTGGATTTGTTACTTTGTTTACACTTACCAGTGACGACTTTGGTCTAAAACAAACTAAATCTAAAAAGATGTTGCACATGTTGATAATAGATTCTAAGAACTTCAAAAGGTGAGTTCATAAATCTTTGAAATTTCTCATTTTTGACATTTTTAATTTCAAAATTATAATTTTTAAAGTGAGGTTGTAAAAGCCTAATGCATAGACAAATAAGTTGGAATTTTCAGGATAAATTTTCTACTTCAAATATTTAATTTTAAAGTGCTTATAGTGAGGATTTCAACTAGTCAGCACTGCTACTTCTAAGAATATTCTATTCTTCCTTGTGATTTTCAGTTTTCTTATTCTTTCTTGTAAGGATTCAATACCATAACATAATGGCTAAAGATCATTACCAAGCCAAGGTCATTATCACAGCCAAGTATTCCAATTGGTAATTGATATGAGGATCTCCCCCCCCCCCCGAAATAAATAAAATGTAGAATATAAGAGTCATTCTAGACATGACCAAATATTCAGCACATCTGGGAAGTTCAGAAGACAGACATGAAGAGGCTAGCTCTTTTTTATTATTTCTCTCAATCAACTGGAAATTAAGGATGTTGCTTTTATGCCATTGAGGCAATGTAAACCATCATGACTATTGATAGCCCTATTCCCCAAGTATTTATCTAGTTCCCATTTAAGTTCCACAATTAAATAAAGAGCATCTAGCTAATATTGTCGACAGTGAGTTATGGGAATACATCTATAAATATGGCATAGCACGTTATTAGAAGTGTAGTTTAAAATGGTCATTAAAGAAGAAAAATTATGCTATATAACCACCATTTCCACTCTGTAACATCTCAAATACAATTTAAAAGAATAATAGGTTTCACTGAAATTTGACGAGATGATACAATTGGCTCATAACTATAGAAGGAGAAACCTGGGAACACCAACCTGTATGCTTGATTTCTACAATGGGTGAGATCTTCTAAACAGATGATCAAGTAGCATATTTTTGAGATTCAGCACATCTGGGAAGTTCAGAAGACAGACATGAAGAGGCTAGCTCTTTTTTATTATTTTTCTCAAACAACTGGAAATTAAGCATGTTGCTTTTATGGCATTAAGGCAACGTAAACCATCATGATTCTTGATAGCCTATTCCCCAAGTATTTATCTAGTTCCCATTTAAATTCCCTAAATTGATAGGAAATCTCAACTTTAGTGGTAATAAATTCCTTAGATTAAATCCTATATTAGAAGAACAATTCAATAATACACACTGCAGCTACAACAGATAAGTCTTTTCCGTGTAAAAAGTGGGAAACAAGAAAATATACTCATGAAGATGCTATAAAGAGCATCTAGCTAATATTGTCTACAGTGAGTTATGGGAACACATCTATAAACATGGCACAGCACGTTTAATAGAAGTGTAGTTTAAAATGGCCATTAAAGAAAAAAAAGATGCTATATAACATCACCATTTCCACTCTCTAACATCTCAAATACAATTTAAAAGAATAATAGGCTTCACTGAAATTTGACGAGATGATACAATTGGCTCATAACTATAGAAGGAGAAACCTGGGCACACCAACCTGTTTGTTTGATTTCTACAATGGGTGAGATCTTCTAAACAGATTATCAAGTAGCATATTTTTGAGCATTTCCTAAAATTAACAGAAGCCGGCACAGGTTTGTTGCCAATCAATCATGCTAAACTAACTTTGTCTTCTTTTTTTGATACAGTTACTACCTTAATAAATTAGAGAATGCCTTAGATATGTTATTCTTGGATCTCAGCAAAGTCTTCAGTGGAACATGTTGACTCTTAATTGTCCTCTAGAGGAAGACCTTATACCAGTTTCTGAGTTCCATTGTACCTATTGATACTCTTGCTGTTTGAATCAGAGTCTTCCATGTGTCTACCTTTGCTAAATGTTTTTTTGCTTACTTCTCTGTCCCTTCTGGATACCCAATAGCCTCTTCTCTTTTCTGAGAGTTCCTTTCCTTTCTCCTCCAAAAAAAGAAATAAGTTTGCACTTTTAGCAAATGTACCTGGCTGGGTCTTCTTCAGGCAGGAAAACAATTTTGCTTCTCTTGTCGATATTGCTTTCTTATTCATTCCCCCTAGAACACTTACACATAAATTCTCCCTACTTTCCTGTTATAGACACTAGCTCCCAGAAGTTCTCTTTTCCCTCTGGGTTGAAACTAACCTGAATTGAAACAAGAAAAGAAGACAGAGCAATATATCTACATTGATATCTCTCTCTCTCTCTCTCTCTCTCTCTCTCTCTCTCTCTCTCTCTCTCTCTCTCTCTCTCT